CCCCAAAACCCCAAAACCCCAAAACCCCAAAACCCCAAAACCCCATGAAGTCAATCAGCTATAAGAACAAAATAATTTCTTAAAAATTTATAATCTAGATCAAAATGCTTTAATAAAAACTTAATAATTGAATAGATATTCAGCTGATATATAATTTAATAAATGAGGAGAATCTCTGTGATTCACCAAGTAATAGTACTTGTGATTATCCTAAATATCTCATAGTTGCAGGCTACTTGTATTTTTATTTTATGATATTTTGCTAGGCTATAACGATGAATATTTGGACTCATTGACTACACTTTGCAAAAGTAAAATTACTCCCCCAAATTATAACTTTTCTAGAATGCGAGGATGCTATAGTTGGCTGTATTTCCTGTTAACAAGAAACAGTTGGCTCATACATATTTGTTACCTGCAATTCTTGCTTTGACGGACTATACTTGCTACCAAGAAAAACTTTCAATTCTAATTTTCCAGAGAAATACTCTTACTGTGTTTCTGATTGTACCAAGGCTCACTAATCTTATATTAAAAATGATATCACGCGATAATGCTAGTGTAATTTATTGGTGAGTAATGCAGGATTTAGGGTGCGGTGAGCATTGCTAATCATGCAATGAGAAATTCGGTTGTGATAAATGCGATGCTGAGATTCAATATATGGGCTGGGTATCGGCATATGTATATAATAATAGGTTTTAATACAGCTAATTTACACAATGCCAAGGTATTCTTGATTTTAAATATTTTTAGAATGCAAAAATTCAAAAACATGCTATGAATGCAGTAAAACTAATACAAGTCAGTGTCTGCATTGTAATGCCGAAGTAAACTAGCTGATACCCTATCTTGGAGATTCCTATGAATGCAGTAATACTTTTTAAATTCAGTAACTTAAATAAAGCTGAGTACAATGTTCCAAGTATAATTAATGATACAAATTGCCTTATCTATGAATGGCTAGATGATTATAACTGTGTTAATTGCAAGGACAATTATTATGTACAGTATAGTCATAATGCTACAATTGATCGAGATATAGGAATATGCACTTCAAGTAAACATTTATCTTAACTCTTAAAGGTTTGCAATCAACAAGTTGTTTGAATCCCACCAATGACAAATACTGCAATATCTGCTAGCTTGGAATGGATTTATATCATCCAAATCAATTTGATACAAATGCTGGAAATTTATGCTAATGTAAGTAAATAGATGAGTTTCTAATTTAATTAGAATGCTAAAACAATAATGGATGGGATAAAGACGTAGCAAGATGCAGTTTCAGTGGTGCTAACTAACCAAATAAAGTAATTGGCTGTAGAGACGGTTATCCTGATGATTAATAATGCAAGCCTAATTGTGATCTCGGAACATATGGATTTGCTTTATATAACTATAGGGCTACGCTAGAAGATTCATCTTGTTGGCCTTGTGGTTAGTTTTAATATAAAACTTAAAATTTTTTAGATACAAGCTGCTATGAGTGTGGCGGACCATCAGATTCTGATTGTAAATCATGCAAATCTGGGTTTTACTTAGATCTCCCCAACCGAAATGTTCAGATGGGATCTTGCATCGCTAAGACATCAGCATCTATAGTATAAGATGTTTATGTTGCTTCTATCACATCACTTAATACCGCGTCTTCAGATACAATAACTGGAACATCAAGCAACCCATTCAATTCAATATAGGATGCTATTAAGTATGCTTATGAGCTAGGGGCTCCAACTACTGATGCTTAAATCAATATCCTTTTAATGGATGGTCTTCATGCGATGATAAGATACAAGCCAACAGATTTTTACATGCCCTAGAAGTTAGATAAATACTCAAGCACGACTAAAATAACAATTAAACCAGCCACAGATGGATAAACTATAATAATAAATTACAAACTAAGAGACTCTTTTCATTTCTTAGTTGGAGGATCTCTTACAATGATTAATCTTTAGTTCGATGCTATTGACTCAACAATTGACTTAGCATTAGATTACAGCAATGGCGTTTATTGCACATAAGAATTCTAGAATTGTTGCAGTGTAGATTAGTATGGTGATCTTAAAGGAGGATAATCTTGCACTTTTATGAAAAGACCGTAATTAACAATAAATAACTTAATTTCATTAACTAGTACCGAAGAATGTTATGGAGCTTTTGGCACAAATTTCTTTGAATTTGAAATGTAAAACAGATCTATGTTGGCATAACCATCAACACTTATTCTACAAGTATTATTCTTATCAACTAATTCCTTCTTAATTTCATTTAATTTAGAATGTTATCTTTAAAAACTTTATCTATGAATACAACAGCTTTATAGAACTTAGCTCATTAGGAGGGCATGTTATACTCAAGAATGTGATTTTCGACAACATGAATTCATGTGGAGCTATCATAAGAAACAAAAAAGCTTAACTCAATAAAACTATGACTCCAACAGACTTTAAGACAGTCTATGAATATAGATCTAATAACTATGAGTATACTCTACATGCTGAATATCTGGACAGTATAAGTTCACTAACATTATTTAATGCCAATTGTACGATTTCTAAAGACACTTGGAATGCAAATCCTTGCTACTCTATATAAATTGAAGATTCTTCATTCACTAACTTTGGAAAAATGAAAGATGTCTTGACTTACCCAAGCAAAGTTGACCCCAAATTCAAATTAAAGTACTAAGGATTTATTTTAGACTTGGATGAATTTAATGGGCCAATTACGTTTAATAATAACAGTCTTCAAAATAATTTGATCATGTATGAGTCCTGTAAAACTGCATGGTATCTCGATTAAATGACTACAAATCCTGCAGTTGACAATTTCACTGTCTACGGTACTAAAACTGATTTTTAAACCAAATCATGGATTTCAATAGTTAATCATGGTGACTGGCCGATATATATTATTAAAAATTCCATTTAACACAATACAGGGGTTCGAGGAGTAATATATTTGGATTTTGGTGCTAGAACTAGCAATAGTCCAGTATTAATTGCCCAGAATGACTTCAAATTGAATGGGGGGTTTATAGATACTACTGTGATAAATATCAGGGCTCGAGGAAAAGACAGCTAAGATGTTTTTGCTAATGCCCCAACTAATACAAATTTGTTCTGTGTAGGACTTCATTTAGAACTCAATAAATTTGAGTAAAACTATGGATGCACTAGATATTCTGGTGGTCCAGTCAAATTTGAATGTCTAAACTCTGATACTTCGGATACTTAGTCTAACGGTTACACTAATTACTAGAATGTTACTGCTGGTTCATAATCTGCCCATTATAATACAGACTTTAGGACATTTACAGCTTCGCCTTTAATCAAGTCTTTCTATTCTTAGTCATACAATCTGGATACGAAGCTAAATAAATTCAAGTCAAATCAGTACATATAAAATGTTGGTACAGGAGGCAGATCACTTATAACAGTGATAGGATCTCCAAGAACATACTTCGACAATGAAACGTTTATTGGTAATGGAGATGCTAGTTTGGAATCAACTTTGAAATATGGAGAGTCTAAGTACTTAAACAGTAGTCTTGACTATGAAAAAACCGGCCACAGTTTATCTTACGATGCTGCTTCGTCACAGATTGAGCAAATGAAATCTCTAATAGAGATTAAAAGAGCAGGTTAAGCTAAAATGACTAATATTTATTTTGAATACAATTGGCTTTACGAAGTTAGCTACATAAAGAATAGATCGTAATTGGTTGAAATTGAAAATATGTATGGATAATTGACTTTAGATAACTTGACAATAGTTAACTAGTTTGGACCAATAAATAATCCATATGGACCTTATGATCTCTATGGAGTTCCACTTGAATTGCAAAGTTAAAGAGACAACGCTTCAATATACCCACTTTTCAGGATAACGAATGATACTTCAAAAATAAAATACATAGATAACTTTAAGACTAGCCTTTACATGAAGAACATCAAGTTTTAGCAGTTAAATAATGATGACTCAGAGTTGTTTATATAATATGGAATGGATGATAATTCTAATTATCAGCATATAACTGATTTCTCTATGAATAATGCTTACTTTGAAGATATTGACTGCTACTCATGCACTAGACCTGTCTTAACTATCTAGTCAATCAATACAACTTTGTGTAATCTGACATTCAAAAATATAAACTCATAAACTTAATTGACAATGCATTTGTCAGAAGCCCCATTTTTCAAATTTTATACAAGAAAACCCTACTATAAAAGTATCGGAGCCTTTACTAAATACACAGAATATCTAACATTTGACAATATTGTGGTTGCCAATCATTTTGCAAAAGAAGGAGGGAGAGTATTTGAAATTGCTCAGGCTGAGGTAGTTGCAGATAATGATCCAACTGATTACCAAATAAAAATTAGAAATAGTATAATGAGCGGTGTTTATTCTTTAGGATCGGCACCTAATTTTAACATCACAGCTAATCAATAATGGCTATATATTTTCAACACTTCTTTTAGCAACATGACTGCTGGCTATTAGTTGGAGACTGGTGGGAATTTCGGCTCAGTATTTTCAATTTAGGGCATGACAAAAATCCTAGTTGAATCAGTTACAGCTATAGATATCTATAATCCATCATCTACTTTTGCTAATAACTACACTGATGGCTGTGGCAGATTTATTTGCTTATACAATGCAGCTGGCAATTTTAATCTGAATGTAACTAACTCAAATTTTGTTGGTTCAGCAATTCCAATGTATTCTCAGAAATCTAATGACTAAATCCTAAAAATAGCAGCAGGAACCATCAGTTAGTCTTCTATCTTCGACATTAGACAAGATACATTTGATGTTGATGTCTATGTGAAATAATCTAACTTTATCAATTGCAGCATTGCATAAATGGGCAGCACAATTACTATAAATACTTCTGGTATAAAAAATATTCAAATTGATTCTAGTTTATTTCAGGCGAATGCTGCTATCTGGGGAGGAGCTATCTACTGTGAAAGTTGCTCATTAAATATGTTTAACACTACCTTTAACACAAATGTAGCTAAGGCAGGTGGAGATTTTATGTTCATTGATCCAACGACTACTACACTTAACTATTAAGGAATAAATTCAAAAGGAAGTTTGTCATTGGAAAGTGGAGGAACCTTTCATATAAGAGAACTGTCAAATAAGAACTTTCAAATAAACATTTTCAAGGGAACATGCAAGAATTCTTCATTCACTGATACAGAGTCCTTATAATAAGGAGGATCATTTTATTTTGAAGTAAGCGGTAATGTTATCCTTGCTATAACAGATACCTATTTTGAAAATATAAAAGCCTAATAAAACGGTGGTATGATGACAATTCCAGAAATTCCAGGTGCTAACTCAAAAGTATAGGTAACTCTATTAAGATCCAATATAAATAGCATTTACATCAGCTAGGGTGATGGTGGTGTTTTTTACGTCAGCAATGAAACAAATCAATTTGAAATAACAGGTTAACAATCATCCATTACAAACATTAAAATTGATGGTAGAGGAGGATTTATATTTTCTGGTGCTAAGTCATCATTGAAAGCTAGCTTTACTGGAGTAACATTCAAAAATATCTCATCATCTTAAGGTGGTTTAATTTACTCATCAAGTGCATCAAGCTAAGCAACTTTTCAAGCATCAACTTTGATCCGGGATGTATAAGCAACAAATAATGGAGGAGTTATGAATTTTGACAATGCAAATGCGAACGTATAAGTTACATTTTAAGCATCTACTATAACAGGCTGCAGATCTGTGAATGGAAACGGAGGAATGATATATGCTACGGCAAATTCAGCAAAATACTATTTCTAAAGTGGTGCATAAGTATAAAATATTACAGCCCACAATGGAAGCGTTATTTATACAGATTCCAATTCTATAGAGTTAACATTATCTATGACTTACCTTTCAAACTTTTCGGCTATTGATTAAACAGGGGCTTTTTATCTCAATGCAAATGATCAGACAACTTTGACTATTAATTAAGGTACAACTATTCAAAATATTAGCTCACCTTCTAATGGTGGTGTATTTTTCATCAATGGGACTAATTTAATTGCTACAATAAACTAAGCCTATGTTTAAAACACTAGTACTGGCGACTATGGAGGATTCTTATTGACTTCTGATAAATTTAGTACTTTTTAACTGACTATTTAAAATTCTTAATTTCATTACTCAACTGCTAAAAAGAATGGAACATTTATCTTTGTAAGAGGTTAAGCCCATCCAAAAATAACATTCTCAATATCCACCACTTCTTTTATTTGTTAATAAGAGTCATATTTTGATAATTGGCCTACTAACTATGACGAATATCAATCTAATTTAGATGATTAAGAAAATATTAATGCAGGACTATTCTAATTTGAAGAGAGCGTCAATGGTAGTATTTTATCAACAGGAAACAGTTTTAAAAGATGTTATAATACTTATGCAGGGTCTATTTTTAATTTGCCTCAAAATATTTCCTTGACTGATACTAACTCATTCTATGAAGGGAATGGAGGTTAAAATGGAATAATAAGTCTTAATTCAAGCAAAGCAACTATTAATGATGCTACGGTAATTGATTCAGATTCAAAATACGCTTCATTCATCCATATGTTGAATAATGCTACTGTTTAAATCGAAAGACTAAGCATGAAATATGGAAAATCTAGAGAAAAAGGAGGGGCATTTTATATTGAAGGAAATGGTGCCTCAAGTTTAAAAATACTTAATTGTAAAACAACTCTCGAGTACTTCTAATCAGTACACCAAGGTGGCTTCATTTATAATGAAAACCCTATGCTTAACCTGAGTATTAGCAATTGCGATATATATCATGTGAAATCCGGCTCTCTTGGTGGATTAGTCTATATGAGTTCAGCATTTTCATTTTACATTTATGACTCAGTCATTTCCAACATATCAAGTAACGGTGAAGGAGTGTTAATCTATTCAATTTATCCAGGAACACTAATGAGCATCAATCAAATTAATTTATAATGCAAATATGAAGAAGATTACGATATTAACAGCATAAATTTTGATGTATCAAGAAATTAAACACAGATTGGATCGGTTATATTTATAAAGCACACACCCTCATTAACCACAAAAAATAATATCTTCAGGAATTGCTTTACATCATTGAGAGGAACAATTTACAATCTAGAAAATACTACTTTCGATGATTAAGACTCAAGCTATACTTAAATTACAGCCCTTGAAGGAGGTGTATTTTACTTTAATAATGTTAATAGCACATTCTCTGGATTAACTATAAAGAGAGTGCTCGCCTATTCTGGAGGTACATTTTTCCTTTAAGGCTAGACAAATCTTACCATTAAAAGTGCAGATATTGATCAAAGCGAATCCTTTGGTGATGGAGGATTTATAAATTTGATTGTTAGTGATAAGGTTTGTGATATTCGGCTGGTTGCAGATGCAGCAAAGTGGATAATTATGAAAAATATTGCGAGCAGATATGGAAACGGAGGAATCGTTTATGCAGACTCACCATTGACAAACATCACATTAGGAGGTCTTGATGTGTAGAATTCTTCTGCCTATATAAGTGGTGGATTTATAAATATGCAGAATGCTTTGAATTTTACTATTTTAGACTCAAAAGTATTCGTTTCTACCAGTTTATAAGCAGGGTCGATAATATATTCTACCTCAGCAACAAGTTATTATGAAATAAGAAGAAACTAATTTGACTGCGAGGGAAATATTCCACCAAATATAACAGATCTGCTAATAAGCTAGTCCTCCACAGCCGGTGGTTCATTTTATTTAGTAAACTCATTAGGAAGTGAATCATAAGCTAATATGTTTTAGAACTGCTATGTTACTGATAAAGGTGGTATCTATTATCTGACTGAAACTAGTTTTGTTGATTCAGATTCTACTTATAACTTTAATGCTGGCATTTATGGTGGAGTCTATTACTGTAAGAGTTGCAACTTGACTCTAAAAAATACAGTCTACAAAAATATTTAATCATTCTAAGGAGGAATAATTTATCTTGAGGATTAGTCAAAGATATTACTTGACAATGTAATTGCTATGAATTCAAGTTCTATAAATGGAGGTGGCTTAATCTATGCAGTTCAAAATATCTAGAGTACGACTGCGTAAGTTGAATTCATAAATGGTGGAAACTTAGTAAATTTATCATCTCAATTCAGTGGGGGTGGTTTCCATATTGATCATGGTGGATTAAATTTTTATATGAAAGAGGCTTTAACAATATAGAATAGCATGGCCTTAAATGGTAATGGAGGTTTATTTAACATATTAAAGGGAAGAGATCTGATCATCAATAATTCAATATTCACTAGCATGTCTGCTTCTAAAAATGGATCAATGCTTTACTCTACTTCAACAACTCTCAATCTAACCTTAGAAAATAACCAGTTCAAAGGAAATGCTTCTGCTTGGACATCCTATTATGGTGATGATTTGGAAACACCAACTAAAGGAGGAATGATTTATCTCAAAGATATTTAAGCAAATATCACCTCAAACAAGAATTAATTCTCTAATACTTATATTGCAACATAAGGTTCTGCTTTTACTCTATTAAATTCAACTTTGATAGATAAAGAGTCAACCTACTAGTATTCAAAATCTAAACAAGGTGGAGCAATCTTTTGTGATATCTGCCATGTCTCATTAACAGGTAATACATTTGATCATCTGTAAGCTGCAAAAGGTGGATCTATTTATATTAATCAACATCAAGGTGAGTTGAACCTAATCAACAATACTTTCTCCTTTCAATATGCTTCAAATTAAGGAGGTATTATCTACATTTCTGGTGCCTAAACAGGTAACACCAATATTATAAATACAACAATATTAACAACTGAATCTAAGAAATAAGGAGGAGCTTTTTATATAGATCACACTAATTCAAAAGTTTTAATTGATAATATGACATTGACTGATTCAAAATCAGGAGAGGAAGGTGGGGTATTTTATATTTCAAAATAAAGTGATATGAACATTACTAAATCTTAATTTCATAACTTCGCATCATTAATTAAAGGAAGTTTAATGTATTCAGCTTCATCAACCCTTAATCTAAGTATGACTGTTAATGATTTTAAATGTAAGCTCACACCCTATAATTATGCAACAGATCTTCAAACTAACATGGAATCTAGTGATCCTAAAATGACATCTGCTGGTGCTTTCTACATTGATAGTGCTCTTTATGTAGACTCTTAATCGAATTCTATCTAGAATTGCTATCTTAGTGAAAAAGGAGGTGCCTACAGTATCCTTAACACTATTCTCTTAGATAACAACACTGTTTATGCAGCTAATGCAGCACTATAAGGTGGGCTTATATATTCTTAATCCTCAAATCTTACGGTCCTTAATACTGTAGTCACTAATTCTTATTCTTTATACGGTGGTGTGTTCTATCTCTATTAAGTTAATCCCATTTTTATTAACAATTCTGAATTTACAAATAGCAATGCAATTAAAAGCGGTGGTTTTACATACATCACTGAACTAAATAATCCTATAGGCTCATATGAATACTTGCTAAAGTTTACAAAAATAACTACATCAACGTCTAAGTTACAAGGAGGATTTATGTATGTTGATTCTACCACCCTGTTTAATATTAATCTACACCAGATTTAAATAAAAAAATCTACAACTGTACAAACAGGAGGTGCTATTCATGTTTAATAAATGAGTGGTATTTTAAATATATCAACAGAAACAGGATAAAGAAATTTGATATCTGAATTTGAGGCTTAGTAATAAGGATCATTCATCTATTCAAAAGGGTAGTAAAATTTTTGGGTTAAAATTGAAAATACTGAGATTATCGGTAAATCAAGTTATGATTTCAAAGATGTAAAAAATGCATTGCTTTTGACAACATCTAGTTATGCTGGGGCATTTTATATTGAAGATTCTATCAAAGGAATTCAAGCTTAGAATAATAATTACAGAAATTGCTTTACAGGTTAATAAGGAGGAGTAATGACTCTAATCAAGACAAAACTAGTCGATTAAAACTCCTAGTATACAGAAAACGCAGCTATTACAGGAGGTGTATTTAAATGCGGCACATGTAAAATTTCAATATAATCATCTAGAATTGAAAATAATAATGCCTAAAGCGGGGGTGTCTTTTACATAGACAATTTCGCATAGATAAATATAAGTAGCACAACTTTTATAACTAACGAGGCTGAAGTTCGAGGAGGAATCTTTGTAGCTTTATAATCTGAATCTGGACTTATTCTTGACTCTTACATCGTGATTGAAAATTCTCTTTAGATAAGGAGAAACTCAGCAAATGAAGGTGGGATAGCATTTATTGAGAGCGAGTATTTGACTTTCAATCTGAGTTTAGTTAAAATTCAGTACACAGATGCAAGAGTAGTAGGTGGTTTAATGAAGATCGTTAAGGCAGCTAAGATCAATATTATTGATTCGAAAATTTCTGATTTTAACTCCCCGATTGGAGCTGGAATGTATTCAATCTCTGATACTGTAGAGATGTATATTGCAAGAAATTAGATAGAATGCAATTAGCTGTTTGATTTTACTACAGTGAATGAGTATTTGGATCTTGAAAAGCCCTTATCTTCACTGGAATCGAATTTCTATATTCAAAAAGCTAAATAAGTCATCTCAGAGAATAATTTGATTTAAAGCTGTGCTGTGGCATCTCTTGGAGGAGTATTCTCATTATATTAGACCAATTTTAACGACACCAAGTCTAAGTACTATTTCAATGCTGGCGCTCAAGGAGGAGTATTCTTAGTCAGTGATAGTAACTTAACAATGATAGAGACAAAACTAAGTCAGAATTTCGGATATAACGGAGGAGCAATGAGCGTCCTACAAGAATCATATGTTTATATGTTTAGATGTGAATTCACTACAAACACTGCTTACTAGCAAGGTGGAGTCATATTTTTGAATACTGATTCCTACTTTTAAGCAGCGAGCACTATCTTTTAATACAATTAAGCTATTGATGCTTCAGCCATTTTGATTCTTGGTGGGAGTAAAATTTTCAATAGCACAATAGTTGGCTGCACTTTCTTAAGAAATTCAGCAATTTCAAATACAATTTCAATAATGAATGGAAATCTCATCATTAAGTCGACCACATTTGAATACAATAATGCTACTTCTAGATCTAAGAATATTTTTGTAGGGTTTTCAAAGATAATAATTGAAAATTCTAGGTTCTCAAGTCTTGCAGAATATGATGAGTTAAGTAGAGTTTCAGTAGAAGAGACTATCGGTAGTTTCATATTCATCATATTTGATGTCGATATCGCTATATATACTACAATTTTCTAAAATGGCAGATCTTCAATGGGTGGAGCTATCTATCTTTCTGGGGATAGCATTCTTAAGATATATCAAAGTCAGTTTATCGATAATTACTCTAAAACCTTTGGAGGCGCTATTTTCGCGAGTGGATTTAAAGAATTCTTTATCGGGTCTGAAACTGTGTTTAGAGGTAATTTAGCCATAGAAAAAGGTGATGACATCTATGTTACAAATTCAGAGAAAAACTTCACACTTGAGAAAGTTAACTTCACTAATCCATCAGCTGTAGGTTCAATATATGCGGAACTAGTCTCGCTTACTTTTGATTAAGTCGGATTCGTGACTATAATGGGAAAGAACAGTCTTTATGGAGCTGCTCTGTTTTGCATGAATTGCAGAAAAATAAACATCACTGACAGCTATTTTTCTAAGATTAAGAGTAAGATAGGAGGTGCTATTTATATTCAGGAAAATGAACTCAATAAAAAGAAGTCTGATAAACAAGGCAAGTATAGAATAGTTTCTACAATATTTGAAAATTGCGAAGCTAAAGTCACTGGAGGCGCTATCTACTTTGATAATCCTCAATATGTTCTAATATAGGAATCATTGTTTAAGTCAAATTCGGTAATGTATTTAAGTACAGCCACAAATTTGGAGATATCTGGAGCAGGAGGTGCAATTTACTATACATGCAATGAGTAAATACTAAATTGCTATTTAGAAATTGCAGGTAAAACTCAATTCCTAAAAAATTCTGCAGCTAAAAAAGGAGGAGCTATATATTGGGATATTATAGAGCCAAATTTCAAAAATGTTTATTTCAAAGATAATTCAGCTGTGTACTACGCAAATGATACTGGCTGCTTTGCTCAATAATTGAATATAGTAAATGTCAAGACCTATAATTATCTGATGTCAAGATATGGTTTACTAGAAACTGAAGAATAGGATGATAGAGCGAGAAGATACTTAGATTCTAATAACACAAACGAGTTGGAAGTACAAAAGCCATGGTGGGAAAGAAACTTGTAAGAGAGCACTTTAAATGAGAAAGATGGAAAGGTATCAAACTAGAGAAGTGGAGGAGCAATACCTACAATATATTTAGCCCATGTAGACAAGTATGGTCAGATTGTTGGCTCTGATTTCACTAGCAAGGTGAGAGTGTTTGTGGATACAACTTAGATCACAGATCCAGATGCTCTTTTATACACACCAACTATTGAAGGAATAACTTTATTTAATGCAAAGGCTGGATTGGTTAAAGCATCAGATTTTAACTTTGCTGGAGCACCTGGATTCTAATATACAGTAGCATTTTAGTCAGATGGAATAGACTTATCAAAATAATCAAACAAGCAGTATATGCAAAATAACAATCAAAAAACAGATCTAAACACTGGAATAGTAATAGCTTTGAGAGAATGTGCAGTGGGTGAATCATTTTCAGCTTCAGGAAAATGTATTAAATGCCCAAATGGTGCAGGATTCTCCGTCGCTAAAATGACTACTCCAGGAGAGTGCTCTTCATGCCCATCTACCAAGGCTATTTGTACAGGAGGTGCTGGAATAGGACCTAGACCAGGTTATTGGAGAAAAAATAACATTACAACTACATTTATCAAATGTCTCTACTAAGCTGCTTGTTTAGGCATGATCGCACCAGATTTTTTACCTACTGGATCATGCTCAGAAGGATACTAGTTCACATTATGCGCTGATTGTAAAATTGGGTACTCAAGGAAGAATGACTTCGAATGTGGATATTGCCCTGATCCAACAGCTAACGTTGTGAGATTGTCCTTTATTCTGATTGGAATGATTGGTGTGGTAGTATTTACAGTAAGATCTACTCTTTCAGGTGCTAAAGAGACTAATAATATTACTAGTATATTCATCAAGATTCTTTTGAATCACTTCTAGCTTATTCTGCTTACTGCATCTTTTAATTTTGATTGGCCAGAAGAGGTGATGAAAGTCTTCGATACTCAAAAGCCAGTAGCGTCTGTCTCCACACAGGTTATCAGTTTCGATTGCTTTTTAGACACAAGAACATCTGAAAGAAATGTAACAACCATTGACTATGAGGTGCCTCCAGTTGAAGGAATCAGAGTTTTTTTCATGAAACTAGTCATGCTGGGCATCATGCCCTTCTTGCTACTAATAGTAACTATTGCCTTTTGGCTTATCTACAGATTTATAAAAAAATCAAAGGATACTAGTGGTAAAATGGTCGCTACAATGGTTATAGTACTCTTTCTCATTCATCCTAATATTGTCCAATACATGTTCTTCAACTTTAAATGCTTGGATATCTCAGAGGAACTAAGAGTGATGAATGACCTTGAGGTCTTGTGCTGGGGTGAATATCACACTCTCTTTAGTTACTTCGTAGCGATACCTTGTATTATTGTGTGGGGAGTTGGTATCCCAGCATTCGCTTACTTTATCATGAGAAAGCATTCTAAGAATTTAGACGCTCTTGATATCAAAGAAAAGTTTGGATTTTTGTATAGGGGCTACAGAATAGATTACTACTTTTGGGAAATCGTCATTATGTATAGGAAAATGGTTCTTATTTTTGTGGCAGTATTTGTTGGAAATTATGGAGTAATTGCTTAAGCCTTGATAGTATTCGTTATACTTATAGCGTTTTTGCTTATGAGTATGAAAACAAAGCCATATTAATCAGATGCTTTGAATGACTTGGAGATGATGTCTCTAGTAACATCAATGATCTCTGTCTACTGTGGGCTCTTTTTCATAACTAACAAACCAGAGCAGTGGATTAAAGACAACCCTGATTATTCTGCTGGATCCATCGCCCTGACTGGAGACGCCAAATTGTTCTTTTTGGCTATCATAATAGGAGCAAATCTAATATTTATACTTTATTGGGCAATCAAGATGTACGCTGAAGTTAAAGCTAAATTTAGAAAAATGATGCCCAAGCTCTATTTAATGTTCTGTCTCTGCTTTAATTAGAGAAAGCTTGATGCTGAACTAAAAGACTATGAAATATAACTTGAGAATGAGTAATTAAAAGAGTAGTATCTTAAGAACTTAGAAGTGCTATAAAATATATACTTCTCAGGATAGATTCTACTGAATTCCAGTTCACTTGAGAAACTGCTAGCGTATTTAAATCCAGATAGAATTATAGAGTTAGCATAGCCAATCTCAGATGTAAGTCCTGAAAAATTACTGAAAATTTAGAAGAGAAAGGAAAGAGCTAAGATTAATGAAAAACAGAGGAAGTAAGACTTTGGGAAGGTCCACGATCTTAAAGCATTAGGATTAGACGATACTCAATCAGTTGATTTAGATAAGCCAATCAGACTTGGAAGTGCGAAGACACAATAAACACAGTCAACTTAACGGAAATCTATTTCTTAAGAAAAACTATCAGATACCTTGCAAATTGATGAGGCATTCATAGAAGACGATGAAGAGACTAAAAGACTTAGAGAAGAATGGATGCTAAGAAAGTAGGGCTCATTTGTATTAAGAAAATAGTAGAAAAAGGATAAAGACAAGAAATAAAATGATAGTTCTAGATCCTTTGATAGCTAGTTCGTTGAGACTGAATAAAATGCTACAGAGTTAGATGCTCTTGATCCAGTGCAAGAAACTTAATACTAGATTCATCATGATTCTGAAGATGAGCGTGAAGAACTGGCTTCAATGGGTTTTAGTGAGTTGGATGAGTACGAGAAAGAACAGTAAGAAGCGGAAGATTTGCAAAGAATCGACAACATGGCTGTTATCAAGGAAAAGGAGGATAAGACTTAAAATATCCACTTCTTGAAGAAGATGGCTAAACTCTAGCCCCCAACCAAGAAAAATCTGACTACAATGAATTTGTTTGACAAGATCAAGTACTTGATGAAATAGAAGGAACCAGTCAAACAGGTTATTCATACCAAGCAAGATTCCATTAATAGGCAAATAGAGATCGAGGATATAGATGACGCAGGTACTGGCCATAACTCATTTGTTTATACACAAAGCAACAATCATCAGAGATCTGAATCTGAAAAGGCAAGAGTAACACACTTTAGCAACTTCTCTTCAAAGAATAACAGTAGCAGTCCGAGGAAACATCAATAAGAGGCGATGCCCACTCCTGGAAAGAACCAAGCTTTCTTGCAAACACCCTTCATTAAAAAGATTTACAGAAAGGATACTATCAAAGAGGCTCTAGAAGAGGAAAAGGAATATGATTTGGAACTCAAAATGACAAAGGCAGCTCAAAAGAGGAACAAGTATAAGCTTGGAGTTAAGACTGAGTCACAGATGATTAAATAGCCATTAACCGCCAGCAATATCGAGGCTTTGATATCAATGAACAATGAGCAAGTATTTGAGCCTTAGATTAATTCCTTTATGCTTGTAGAGTAAGAGCTCAAGGTTATGGAGGAGAATGACTCTGATAAGAGTAGTGATAACAAACTTCATGAAATTATTTCGAATTTCGATGAATTAAAAATTGAAGACTCTTTCAAAGCAAGTGAGAGTGATGAACAATCCTATACCAAGTGAAAGAGACATCAGAACATTAGAGTAGATATTATCATCTATAAGATTGACATTATTTGATATTATTCTTATAAACTAATATTATCTAATTAAAATATTAATTTCTTAATCTCTTTCAACCTTAATCTCAATATTTTAGGCTCATGGGGTTTTGGGGTTTTGGGG